CAAGAGACATTGTCCTGAGGAACCTGTCAAGCTATATTTTACTCTTGTAATTAAAGTTCAAATACATTCCATCATGCAAAAATCTATGCATTCTAAGAAATATTTCAGTCATTAGGGTATAATTTCATTCATTTACAGACAGCAGTACACTAATTAAAGTCAGTATGCAATTGGGAAGTCACCTAACAGATTTTTTACTTCTTCACTTATCTCCGATGGTAATTTTTTATGTTACTAAGATGCAAAGGCAGATTCATGCAATTAAGGTTTCCTAAAACCTATTTATTTTCACTGAGTTTTCTTCTTTCTTCGTAGCAACCTATGTAATCTGTTCTCTGCATTTGAAGTTGAAACAGTGTTTGTACCACACCAACTTTTTGGCTTATGCTGAATAGTTCTTGCCAAGGCAAGAACCAAGGTTTTCTCTCCAACCTCCCATACACTCAGAGGCCAGCAGGTCAGAAGTAGGCAAAAGGCTAGAAGGGGACACAGCTGGGACAGCTACTGCCACTGACAAAACAGACATTCCATTCCACACAATGCCATGTTTAGCAATAAATTATCAAGGAAATGGATAGGGTGTGGGGACGTTCATGATGGCATTTGTCTTCCCAAGAAATCATTACACATATTTGATAGGATAGGGAAAGATGATTAGGGCAGGAGTTTTGCTGTGGGCTGGGGTCAGCCCACCACATCACTCTTTCTGAATATTTTCTGTAGCTATTATCTATCTTGCCTCCTGTGCATTTCAGTCACTGCATTCAAATAGCAACTTAAGTGATCCAAGCAAGAGCAATACCCTGCATACCCTCCTCAGTAAAAACAGGCCACCTCTTCTTCCAAACTGACATTGGTAATCAAGCAAAGTCAAAGTCACAAAACCAAGCAAATAATCTGGAACAAGGGATTTAATTTGATATAGAGCATAGAATATTCTCTGTTGGAAGGGTGATCCACAAGGATTATCCAAGTCCAGCTCCCAGCCCTGCACAGGACAGCCCCAAAAATCACACCATGTGCCTGAGAGTATTATTCAAACTCTTCTTGAGCTCTGTCAGGCTTGGTGATGTGACCACTTCCCTGGGGAGCCTGTTCCAATGCCCAGTCACTCTCTGGGTAAAAAAAAATTTCCCAATATCCAACCTAAACCTCCCCTGACACAGCTTCAGGCCATTCTCTCAGTTCCTATATCTGCCACCACAGAGAAGAGATCAGTCCTGCCCCTATGCTTCCTCCATGAGGGAGCTGTAGACCACTTTATTTACAATAGACAAAATGTTTTTCAAACATTGAGCTTTGAGTTTTTTTATTTTTAAACAAAGATTACATGGGAAAATAATGTGTTTCTATTGAAGATACCAATATCACCCCGCAATTTTGGTGCGAACAGATCAAACTCTCATATTGATCATCTATTGATCAATATTTACTAGAAGAGTATGAAGAAGTACTGGACAATTTCAGTAGTACTAAACAATTTGAAGGACTACTGGAGAATGTTCTTCTACATAGACAAGGCTTTCACAGTACAACTGTTTAATATTCCAGAAATACCCATCCAGTGATAATGCTGTTTAAACATTTACATAAGTGTGGACCTTGCTCCATCACAGCACAATACATTTGGAAATAAAGCTTCTCACATGATAATAGTCTGCTTCTGCCTTATATCCCTCTGGCACAGGAATAACAGCTTTCTTTATTGACAAGGTACCCAAGTAACTAGGCAAGATCTTGAATCCCAGTGCCCAGTCTTGAATTTTGATAGGCATATTAAGGAGGGAGAAACCAATTTCCATTTGTACACAAAAAAACTTTCTTCTCTGCTGAAGAGAGCAGAATGTTCATAACTAAGCAGAATGTGCCAGATATGGAGCTATCATTAATTGAAGGCAAATCTTCAAATGCTTTGAAATGCCAAGCCCTCCCCCCCTTAACAGCTGCAAGTAAGCCATTTTCTCCCAGTTCCAAAACAAACCAAATACCAGTGAAAAATCAATATGTGTTTCAATAACCAAATGCCCACAGAAAGAAGTAGTATTCTTATAAAGTCCATGTGCAAAGCAAATAAGTGGGTCTGAAACTACTTAACCACTAAACATGCAACTATTATTGAGGAAAACTGACAGCACAGATGTTTCTTTGAAATTGAAGTGTGGTACAGGAAAAGGAGTTGTGCAAAACAAATTGTTTGATCAGTCTTTTCCACTGTGGCTCAGTTTTTCTTCTCTATACTTCAGGTCTCAAAGCCTAAACAAAGAAAAACAAGATCTGTTTGGTAGGCTCCTTTCAGAGCAAGACAGTATAAGAGCTACAGAAATACTTGTGAATAGCATTGCCCATTGCTATTCTCTATTGGTATGTAGCATGCCATGCTAAATCCAATGCATGTGAATAGAGTGGATTCAATTTCCATGCAAAAAAACCCAATTCATTATACTGATTGCAAACTGTATGGAATGGAGGAGAGCAAGAGTCCATAAAAAGCAGGGTTATTTGATTATATGCAGAGATTTAACTGCTGACACAAACATGTACGCTTCAAAATCAGGTGTACGAAAGGCTTTCATTAACCTTTTGAATCTTTCTTTTAGTGACCAGTAACAATAAATAAACAGTGTCTGGCTACATGGAGATTATAAAAGAGCAGCTAGAAACACTAACATTCCAAGAGCATAGAAAAGATTTTCATTGGTTCTTTACTAGCAAAGAACACAGGAAAATAAAATTACAAAGATCTTTACATAACCAAACTGTATTACACTTGATGATAATAGCTTCCACCTTTACCATATTTTCAATGCATCCCAGAGAGAAGGAGAAAAGTAGTGGTCTAGCACCTTAAACGTAGAGTAGAGGTAAGTAACAGACACTTGTCTTCTGCATCCATTCATTGTTGCAGTAATGTAATAGATAACACCACAGAAGCCATAAAATTGCAAGGTCTCCTCCAGGAAGAAATGCATAATGCCATAGGAAAACTCATTCACAACATATTATTTACATCACAGCTATTCTTAGAACCCCCAAATACCACAAGTTCAGGTATATGCAGAAGTGCATAACTGGACTCTGATTCACCCAGTGAATGGTGGAAAGGGGGAAGTAACACATATATGGCCTTTTCCCAGTGAAAAAGATTCTTCATCCTTTAAAAAATCCTAAAAATAACTCATTCTCTTTCAGCATATCTACTCCCGCCTAGACAGAGAAAAGAGTTTCAAACTGAAATTTCTGCAGCCTAAATAACATCTCACATCTCCCATCCTACTCCTACAATCTGCAGCAGATACAAAGACAAACCAGAAGACCGTAGACAAAAAAATCCCAAATCATGCATTTATCAAATATCAGCCCTACTCTTCCCTTGTCTTTCATGTGGAGAGTAGTTAAAATCCCATGCTAATTAAATTATAAGCATTTGCTCGAAAGTATGAGGTGGAGAGGACAAATATGGCTTGACTTGCTTTCTTAATGTCTGCCTCCCAAACAGGAGCATGGACTCCTTACTAAGGAACAGTCATCATTTTGCAAGCAGAAACAAACAGATATTGAAAAGGTTACTTTGGAGGCTGGTCCCTCTTGGAAGAACAAAACCATTACTCGAACAGAAAATTCACTCTCTCATACACCTTTCTTAATATTTTGTATCTAATAGTGAAAAAGCTTCTGTCCCATTAAAATCTGAATAAAAAACATATTAAGACAATTGGCTTCATATTTGTTTTCTAGCACAGCTGAAGTGTTTTCAGATTGGCTTCAGCTAAACAGAAACACAACAAAAGTGAAGAAGCCATGCAGAATAGTCCTTTATTGAGCAATTTTTGAATAACAAATAATACCACAACACTTTGATTTTGGGGTGTACCAAGACAAGCAACTGCCAAGAACTGGGAAATACCTTGTTCAAACCAACAGGATTTCTAGGTTGAGCTAGATCTGGCCTAAGCCCTGACTACAGCCCTGCTTCTCAGAGTCCTTGTGTCTAATCCCTTGCACACTTTAATTCTCTTGGCTCAGATTTGCTAGCAGTTTGCTGCTTTGTTCTGGTTTTAAAATACTCTGAAGCTGGAACTAATCAGAACATTTCCAGTGAAACAGGTTAAAGTTTTCACCTGAAAGATATCCAAGATACAGTGGGATTAGTTAATTTCAGCTAAAGCAGCTGAAATTAAATCTTGGCCCTTCAAAATAGAAAATGGGTAATTTCTGTGCAATTTTGTTATGCAGTATCATCAAAACACTCCAGTCTTTTTCTAATGTGAAAAAAAAGGACAAAATCTGTAACCCCTGCTGAGAATCTGTAAAAACTGCTGAGAATCAGAACTGTTCTCTGTTCATCTATCATAAAATACTCAAGATACTCAATACCCAAGTGTATGTAGTATATGAAATTAAAGTCCTTTGTTATTATAATTTTGAGAGGGAAAAAAAACGAAGCAACCCACTAAATCGTTATTTAGACACTTGTTTTCCACTACAAGTACAGAAATTTAAAGTTAGTTTTAACAGCTCTTAAAACCTAAATCCTTAGATAACATTTTGAAGTAGAACCCCCAGGACTACATTGCTTGATCTCATCTGAAAGCATGGCACCAGCATGTTATGGGGATGTAGCAGAGAAGGGCTCACACCAGCACACAGATGTTCTTATGCCAGAGCCATCACCAGACTCATGTGCTGTAACAAAATAAGGATGAAAGAATAATTAACTTGGGACCTTCCTTTGTTTCTCCCTGCTTTACCAAGATATCCTCATCTATAATTTGCATAAAACTAATTATGGGCTTTTTGAAGTAAAAGATCTTTTTGAATCAGGTCTTATGGGCTTTGCCATATATCCATTCCTTCAGACTCTAAGCCAGGTTCCACATTAGCTCAGTCACCACTTAAACATAATTACTTAACAATCTGGAAAAGTACCAACTATATGTAATAAAACCATGAGCATAAGATATATTACTTCTAAACATAAATCAAATACCCGTGATAATTCCCCATAGTGGTGAAAGGGTGTGTGTAAGGAAAGAATTATATATCCCTTAAAATTACTGTCCTCATTTATTAAATCCTCCAGATGTGTTTCCTAGACCTTGTCTGTCCCTAATCATCTTCTTTTATGTTCCTTAACATAACATTGCTAGATAGTCAAAGTTTCTAGTGGGAACACTGGCATGTTTTTGTACCTAATGTACAAACCACCTGCTCATCAGAGATTCACAAATCCCATGGAGGCACTTACATTTGAAAACAAAACTCAGAGTCTGGAGATCAAAACAAGTAATGAGCACATATGACAGTGTCTTTGCCACATTAAGTGATTTTATCACATCCTTTGATTAAAAAAGAACAGCAAGATCTGACACTGCAGGTATTTTGCAGCACATCGCCTGCAGAAAACGGTTTAAAAAGCTGCATTTCGAAAAACAGCCCAGATTTTGCTACTTTTTTGAATTAATGCTGCATTTAGAAATTCTTTATAACCTATACATACAGCTAGTACCATAGACATGGGTAGGAATGGATCATAATATACAGGACCTGCAATAAAAAGACCAAAAAAACAACTTCAATTTGACACAGGAAGAAGAAAAATTACATAGCACTGCCAGTGCCTTGGCCCTGCAGGAGTCCAAAGAACTTGCTAATTGGGATCCCCAGGCGTTCCCAAGCAGCTGCCCATTACAACACAAACTACAGCTCCCCCATGGTCTCTGCCAGACTTGCCAAATAGAACAGAAAAGGAAAAAGGGGTTTCCCTCCTGATCTCCATATCTGGTAAAACCGGGTAACACACCAATACACCCAATCATCCCCACAAACAAACCCATCTCTATTAATAGCTAAGTTTGAAGCTTCACAAAAAGATTAACACTGTCATCCTGGCCATCACTGTGGCTGAAGGGGGATACCCTTGTTCTGGCTGTATAGAGATGATAGAACCCCTTACACTGTTATTCCATTACTGACTTGCAATGGGATGAACACAAATTATCAGAGTTCTGGGGAGGATTTCACTGCTTTTCACCTCTCATTTCCCCTGAAGTCCTCACCTTCTTAGGATATTGTAACTGCTGATATGTTCCGCAGTTTCTACTAGACATACAAAGTTCATTAAATACTTGTATATTCTCAGACTTTTATTCTCCTATTTGTACTTATTGATTTCAATTCTTCTCTACTATTATTGTCTTCTCACAACCAAGTTATCGGCATGAAATATTTTAAACTCATCTCTGTGAAAGAACCATGGAAAAGCAAAATACATTGCCTTAAAGCTTTGACAGTTTTATGTAGTCACAAATGAATGATCTGAAAAAAAAAGCATCCACTATAAGTAACACTGGGAAAATTAATCTCATTCCATTGAAAATAACAGATTCAAAAGTTAAAAATAGTCTCCCAAGAAAAATAATATAACTGGGGGTACAAGTTCCCCCTTCTCCTTTGTATTCATGAAGTTTAAACTTTCTCTGTAGGTTTAAATATCTTTCCACTTGGCTTTTCTTTTTCAGCCCAAAAACCAACAGCACTGAGGTCCCAGTGATGAGGAATGAGGAATGACTCACCAGCAAGTGCTGAGTCACAATCACACCAAATACACTCTTACATCTTGATGGAGCATCAAATTCAATAGCTTTGCTTAGTCACTTGAGCTTGCCCTAATTCCTATGATTCACTCAATTTCAAAACTCTGATTTCTGATTCCTTGTTTTTTCTTTGCAATATATATTCCACTGTATAACTCTTATACAACTCTTAAAGCAGAATTGTTGCAAGCCATCACTAACCCTCAGTCAGATCACGGGCTTCAGACACAAGGTGGGTCACTTATCAAATCCAAGTGGCCAATACGCCCCAGTGCGCATTGGATTAATTTGGAAGTGCTGATCTCCCACTCCTTGCACACCCACAAAAAATTCCAGCTGACATTGGAAGATACATGCATCAGGATTTCATCCTGTCCTGACTCATGCCAGCAGCAACCTACCATCAGCTAAAAGTGTGACCTTTCTCTGGGAGGGCTCCTCAGCCTGACAAGGTAAGACACAAGAAGTGGGTACTCAGCAGTTTATGCAGAGGGTGAAGTATCTGACCATGATTAAACAAGCCAGTGTTAAAGTGACAGATTTCCGATTCCTTAGCCATTTCAGTTTGTTACCTTTTGTCCTGTCTGAAGGTAGATAAAGCAAAATTACTTTTCCCAGCTGTTTATCTGTTCAGCCAAATACTTATATATTGAAAAAGCTAAGTTTGGCTTGAATTCAACTAAGGTAATAAATTTATTTCTCTTCACAGAAATTGACAGCAATGTTTTATCTAATTACTGCTAGCATTCCAGCCAGAATCTAGAGAACTTCTCTAAAAGGTTGTAGGCAGGCTAGCATGGCGGGGATGAAGGAAACTCATCAGGGAGAGAGGGAAAGGCAGATGCAGTGAATAGGTTTCTGATGACTGCCACATTGCAGTACCTACAGGAGGCAATTATCACTACACTGTTATTTGTTTTTCTGTCTTCAGGCACAGTTTTTCTGCTTCCTCACTGTGCATTTCTGCAGCAGCTGCACTAAGAATTGTTGTGCTGGATTAGTGGTTAATAAGCTTGTTAATGCTGAAGGCACTTATCCAGTTATGTACATTCAGAAAAGTTTCCCTTATTAAAAGATACTGTGAGGAAGGCAGGGGTCATCTCTTGGGAATTCTGGGAATAAAACAGACCACACAAATTCATATGGAGTTCACAGAAATCCTACGATAATGGTTCTATGTCTTTACCCTTGCTGAAGGAACTACAGCTTTCAAGCTTCTTTGGCCAGCTATTCTGATAGTCAATAATAGTATATTAAAAAAAAAAAAAAAGCCATGTAATAAAATAAATATTTAACTTTTTGTCATAACAAATTAAGTGTAGGTCATATGTTCTTTATCAGCTGCAAGTTCCCAAGTCCTCCTCCAGGTATTTACTATGATACTTTATTTTTTAAAAAAGCTCACCCTAGTTGCAAGCTCTTTTCTCTGAAATATTTTCCTTCTCCATCACATATTCTAATGTAAGTAAATTAAAAGCATATCTCAGTCTAAAGAACTCTGCAAAAAGTGCCTTTCCTACAACTACCTGGGATTCATAAAAGTATCCTGACACAATTTTTCTAGACATCCAAAATCTACTCCTAAAACAGAAAGCAAAGACAGGCATGACAAAATTAATCCTACCCCTCCCCTCCCACATCCACCTAGGCTGAATTACTGAAGGTCTGTGTCAGTGTGAACATGAAATAACATGTTTCAAGAGAAGAAATAAGAGATCTACCCCAAAGCAAATCATGTCTTAGTGTCTTAACTCACCTGGTTCTGGTGACTGGTCTAACATAGGTAGGGGATAGGCTTGAATCCAGGCCTCACACTATGGTGGATAGAATGCTGTGGTGGGTATAGTAAAAGCAGCCTTGGCACCTGCATGTCCTTTTAAAATTCTATTTCACACAAAAGCTGAAAAAGTTTAGTTCAAACATGACTGTCTTGAAGCTTTAGACAGAAAGAAGTCCATTTTTGACATATGGGATTTGTTTCTGCTGAGAACAATACTTCATCAGGAAAATACCAAGCAACTTCATCAAAAATTACCACCTCCTTTGTATAGAAGTACAAAACACCACCCTGCTCAAAAGACATGTACTTGTATTTCTAATTAGCAGTGCCAGCAACTGTGGGGCACCCAATACCTCTCTTCTCTTCAGAGGTTTGACATGATAAATGTTGGAGAGCTGCTACTGATTTCAAAACTGACCAGCAGGACCACAGCTGGAGAGAAAAAGAGGCAGAAGATTAGGATAAAAGTAGTTAGTACGAGATGTATGCATGCTTTTATACACCTTATTTAGTCAAACTGTAAAAAGACACCTTCTAAAATCCTCAAATCCTCTTTTTAACACAGCTGTCTGCTCATGCAGCTCAGTAACCTTGGTGCATAGTAAAAACCAATACAGTTACTGAAGACTGATTTCAATAACTTTTTGGAAAGGGTCCAAAGCAGCTTCTGCAGTGTCTGCACCAAAAACAACTCAAAAAAAAAAAAAAAGAAAAAAGAAAGGCAGAAAGGCAGAAAATAGCTGCTCTTAAATCTGGTGTAAGACTTGCACAGTTGTCTGCAGCAACTTAATTATGACAGATTTTCTATGGGCAGATGTCCTGGTTCCAGCCAGGACAGGGTTAATTTTTCTAGTATCCAGGAGGGGGCATGGCTAGGACATGGAGGTTATTCTGTAGCACCTCACATCACTGCCAGGACACAGAAAAAAGACTCTCTTCCTGGGAGAAGTGGTTCCTTCTCCAGCACTGGGAGCTGTCCATTACTGGTTGTGTTTTCCGTGTGAATTGTTTCTTTTCTTGCACCCTTTGTTACTGCTTATTTTCTTGTCCCTTTGCTGTTTTCAGTAAATTGTTCTTATCTCAACCAATGATCTTTGCCTTTGGGCATCCAAGTCTGCTCTCCATCAAAGTGGGGAAGGGGAGGGCAAAAGTGGAGAGAACAAGAAGCAGCGTGGTTGTGATGGGAGCACTTAATTGGGGAATACCATGACAAGACTGTAAGGCAACTACACTCCCACTTACACACTGGGGTTAGCAAAAGCTGACACATTTCTATTCTTGCATCAAACAGCACAATGTTTGCTTAACTACAATTTTTTCTAATCAATGACAAAGTTTTACTTCTGAATTGTGGTGTTTTGCCCATTATTGTCAAGGGGTGTATGGTCAGGACACTGATGCTGGTGTTTTGCTTTTTAAAACACTCTATTGCTAAGTATTTGCCTATTTTAAATATAGTTATCCATTCAGCTACCAAAATATTTTATTCTACTGCTGGACCCATGAAGGCAAAGAAATGAAAAGAAACAACCTATGCCAACCAACACTGGTAATCTGTGCAGTAACCAAGTGTACCAGGATATCAGTATATTCACAGAACTGAGGATCTTCTTATTCAGAATGCAAATCTCTTGAATCTTTAAGTGCTCCATCAGGAGTCTTGGACTGCACCTCTCTGCACACAATTTAAGCTGCATTCTGCAGGACACCAAATATGTATTCACTGATACAGATCATTACTAAAACAAATATCAAGGCACAAACAAAACCAGACTTAAACCAATGGTTGAACAGAGACAGTTCAGTCTCTTCAGCGATAGAAATGGTCTTGATGTCTTTTCATATTTCATTGGAAACTAATTAAACAATGGCCTTTTCATATCTTTATGCACACAGATCTTTCTGTGAGATATTTACCCATGACCAAGTAGACTGTGTTGCTTATTTACAATTGGTCAAGTAGGGCTTTTTGTGTTCACTGGATGTGCAATGTTTGCAATGAGCTTGAGGTAAAGAAGCTTCTCAAACCTCTAGAGAATAAAATCTGGAAAGATCACCGGTCTGTTAGCAGGGGAGAAAGAAAATATGTTAAAAACAAAGCAAAACAAAAAAAAAAAAAACACAAAACCACAAACACCACAGCTTTTTAAGATTTCAGTCTTGGCTTCAGAGCAAACACCTTCTGATATCAGACCCCTTATCAGATGTGCCCATCTTGGAGAAAAGCCAGCTTGGTTACAGATAAGGACTAAAACCTGTAGTTCATTCCCTTAAAAACTGTCAGATTCACAATATTAAGTACTCATCATTACACCTGGGGGCTTTCTGTACTGCATTTATTTTAAAAAGCAAATAAAACAAACAAACACCATGGGGCAGGGGGCTGGAGTGTAAAGAAAAACACAAATTAAGAAAAATAGCTTAAGGGGAAGCCTGTATTTCTGAATCAAATCACAACTTTAAATGCTACAAAAAGGAATCCATTTCTTTCTATATGGCCAATGAGTTACCAAGTTTTGTCTTTTTGTCATCAGACATTTCCTTTTCAGGTTTTCATCGGCCAGAGGGAAAAAGACGTTTCTCCGGCAGAGACAGAAAAATGTCTAACCATGTCAGCTGATTGGCAGAATTTTGTCAGATGACATATACATTAAGGGGGAAACAAACATCAGGATTTCTTGTTGAAGTAATTACCAAGTATATCGCAGCCAAAACTAACATTTTTTTAAATCTGCCAGTTTATCACTTCCTTCAAGTTTCCTGTCAAGAGAGCCTCTGCTGCACACTCTGCAAATTTGCAGGTTGGTTTAGATTTTACTTAAATGGGAAGCAAATGCCACACTTAAAGAAATTTCACAGAAAAAATAGACAAGATGTCTCTACTCTTATACTTGAAGTTGTATCTTGACTATGTCCTCTCTCTTGACCTGTTGATACAAGGCAGAGAAGAGTAATCTGTAAAATAAACTTGCTGCAAAACTGAGGTAATCTCAAGAAAGTCATTTTAACTGCATTGCTGGTTAGACAAGTTTTATTAATTCTGAGTCCATAGCTTCTCTTCTGCCCCAGCTTTTCCAAATAATAATTAATACTATCCAATTATAAATTGCTACACGTCTTGCACAACAACAAAGAAGTTAAAACTTAAATAAAAAGTAAAAGATATGATTAATGACATGATGTAAGCACAAAATAGCCAAGGCCAGGGCTTTCATCATGGTTTTATTTTGCAAGCATAAGATCACATAACTTTGATCACATTTGCTCATGTAGACTTATTTTTCCCAACAGAAGTATTTTGAGATCAGCATTTACTACAAAACCTCAAACATTACTACATTTTCCAACATGAACTCCATTGTTTCACCTTCCAATAATATTAAAATAACATCCTGCCATCCTTAAGATAAAATAACATAACATTGCTCTTATTTTCTGCAACAATGATAAAATCTTACTACTTTGATTCTGTGCTTGTTCCCTTTTATGCCCCAAATAACTCATTAAAACTTAACATGTTCTGTACTCAGTATAAACCTAATAGCCCAATTTTTCTTATTTTCCCACCTTCACTGTAGGTTAAAATATCACACAGTTAAACTCCTATATACATACACTCTAGGCACCATCTAACTCTTTTTACAACAGTGCCAATGAATCCAAGTACAGTCA